GTCTCAGTTTTCTCATCTGTAAAATAGGAATAATTAAAGTACCTAATTTATGACATAGTTAAGTAGACTAGATTAGCTAACCCACATAAACACTTAGAAGTATTTTGCATGAAGTAAATCCTAAGTAAAAGTCAGCTATGATTTGATGATGAGGATGAGTGATGATAATGATGATTAAGCAGAAAAATTGCAACTATATAAAAACCAAACTGGCAATTTTTATTTTAAAATATACTTTAAGATATAAATATGTGTAAGAAAATATACTTCAGATATGAAATTTCAAAATGGCTATTTTATATTGGTTTAATAAAACTTCACTTTAAAAGTATTCCAAAGTGATCATAGCAATTTCAAGTTTACCTAAAAATTTCAATCTAAAAAAATGTGCCTGTGATGAAATAATATTAAAAAATCCTAACATGATAATACATCCTTTGCTCATACCTTAAAATATATTCACCACTGCACATAAATAAAAGCTTTAAAATGTGACTATTTTGTATTAAAATGTTTCATATGGGGGAAATTTAGAATTTCTGGCATTTTAATACGGTGTTTATTCTTCATCAGCCATGCACTGAAATCTCAGGGTGAGGAAAGGGCCAGACCAATGCTGAAAGGTTTCAAATATCAAACTGTACTATTATGTCAGTGCCCTAAGATCAATTAGCACCTTTCAATGACAGAAAAGGTTACCATGAGACTCAGAGGTTCGCTCTCTAAAACTGTTTTAAACACCATATAAATGTGGTTTTGATAACTTAAAATGGTTTCTATTTTTAAATTAATCTGTTTCATCTCTTTTTCTGAAAGAGGGAAAAGAGTTGAGGAAATAAGAAAAGTGCTATTCATTTTCAGTACCTCTCTCCTAGTAAAAACATGGATGGGGTCATGATAAGAACCACCAAACTTTCAAGAGCAAAATGGTGTATCAGGAACACTTATTACATTAATGTGCAGGGCCACATGTAATGCTAGGTGACAGTAATGTTTACAAAGTCTTCAAACTCAAAAGCAATCGAACTTGCTTGTTCTGCTTTTGAATATGTGATTCTTCCACTTGAGTTCAAGCTCAATGACACCAAGTTTGGCTCCATGTACAATTTAATGAATATTCAGTGCCCTCCACATTAAAACACATCTAACTGCAAAATGCAGTATTACATATTACTGTAATTAAATACACATTGCATCTCACCCATTTCTAGAACAAATGCCTGAAAGAGCATGTCATTTCTTAGTTCACTGGGGAAAATTCACAAGAGAAGCAGGTACACTGCAACTTCATCCCATTCCTCCTTGGTGTTGATTTCATTCACCTAGTAACCATTGTAATTAAATCCCCAACTGTATTTCTGAATACAGTTAGTTTAAGATACTCTGCAGGGAGACACATTATATGAGTTTAGAATATGTAAAAATAATATCCATTTGTAAAAGAAACTGTCATGATTATATTCTCAGTGAAAAAAATAACAAGGCATTTGGTAGTTTGTTTAGCTCTTCAATGAGAGGATTCGAAACGTCTTCTACTTTTGATAGCACGCTTTTCTGTTTGTTTCTTAAATGAGTGATCTGAAATATTTACAACCAGACAGTACCTAATTTTAGGTTTTAAGTGCTTTAACAGCTCCATGAAATATGATCAGCAGCTGCAATACAGAACTATGGTGAATAAACTCCTTATAAAGGGGGCCTGTTTTTACTGAATGTTCAGTGTTCCTGCATTTACCTCCGAGAAGGGGGGGGGGGGGAATGATAATGAAAAAACATAATAACTACTTGCACTCTTGAATTACTTAGCACTTCACTAAGTCTTGAAAAGGATTATCTCCCCTCTTCTTGAATTCTGCATAAAAAGTTCTATTGGGTGACATAAGTTTAATTTTATTACTTGAGGGTTAGTGAACTTTCCAACCTCCTAACTTTTCATAACAATAGTTATGTGGGTTTGTTTGTTTTTAACCATCCTAACTTTCTAAAACTTTTGAATAATTCAATTCCAATGCATAAATTTTTAAAAAATGAAATACCAAGCCACACAAATATATTTTTAGATATGGCATCAGCCATTTAGAGCTTGCAACAGAGATTGAAAACATGAAACTGGACACTCTACTTCTCGTAGCTATGTAAAATTTATTTACACCCCAAATCACAATATAAATAAAAAAAGGAAACTCTTAGATATGGAGAACTCGTTTTTCTTTTTATTTTAACTCAAAGAGGTTTTTTAAAAGAAAAAAATTATAGCAAAATGAAAAACTCATCTTGCAGTCTCCCCTCAAAAAGAAACTTTTATGCACACAAATTTTTCAACTACCTTCTACAAATCCTCTAGAATTCAGTATCTGTATTTTTAATAAGAATAATAATTGTTCTTGAACCAATTTTTATACAAACCTTGCGTATTTTTAATTTTTAAAATTGAACATATTTTTAAAAATACATATTAACTATTAATATATACATAAAACTTTTCATTTTGTACAGGAGAAATTAAGTTTCTAATATGCAATAAAATACTAATAAAAATAATCAAGGTTTTTTTATTTTGTTTATAAAACTTCTAATTATGATGGCCTTAAAACGCTGAAGCATATTACTTTCAGGAATTTGATAAAGGAAAACAGGCTTTTTGAAAACCACATTAATTTTAGACCCTCACTTGTAATGAAAGACAAGGCTACAGCCCTTCATAATAATAAAAAGGGAACAGTTTCCAGATAATCTAATTATGTTACTTTGAAAGCTGTCACTGTCAAAGATTTTTACTATCTTGTGCAGTCATTTCTAAAGGTTGGTTTAACTCTGAATGACTTACAACTTTTTAATCAGGTGGAACAAACTATTTTTATGGTTTATAATAACAATAAAATTGGATGCAGTTATATCTGAGTTTGGTATTGTTGCCATAAAAATTAGACTCTGGCAGTCTAGCCCCACACAGAACAATTTGTCTCTTGTTACTACCGCTACCTATTTCTTGAGAGAGTTCTTTTTTAAAATACACAACTGCCTCTGAATGCAGTCCTAAAACGCACCATACCACGTATCAAGTATTTTGTTTAAGTATTCTTCCCCTCCACGCCCCTTCCTACTTTTTGGTTGTTGGACTTATTAGAAACTGTCCCGAAATATTTTAAAATAAAATAAAACAAAACAATGTTTCTGCTTAGGAAGCTCCACCCGGAAGGAAAGGGGTCCAATCCTGGTCCTGAGGCGGTTTTAAAAACCCAACAAAGACGACCCAACAAAGAAAAACACCGTCGTCAACTTGCAATACTGTCAGTCACCTACGCCTACAGGAAACTTCAGAAGCTGCTGACGGGGAGCCCGCGGCTGTTAAAACGCTCCCGAGACTCCCCACCTCAATCCCGCAGGAGCCCGCCCTGAAACCGACAAGCGCCCGAGGGTGCAAGAAGTGGCTGCTGATGGGAAGAGGAACAAAATGCCATGTTCGAGAAGATACGTTTCGCTCCGCCAGTTACGTTGATCCCAGGGTGCCAAGCCAAAAGGGGTAAGGGAGAAAGAAAACTGTTAAGTATGAGCTCTTAATGTGAAACCCAACCTGTTGGTTCTCCTAGGTATCAGATTTTGGAAGTGTCTGTAATGACAGCCAGGAAAGCAAATTAATGGCCAACAGCCCACTGGGTTTGAACACGAGACTCCTATTACCTCCTCGCAGATCAAGTACACAACACACACGCACACGGAGGTGCTCCACGTGGAACCGCTCCGAAACCCTAACACACGCCCCTTCCTCCTCCGCACCTGGGCAGAGAGGGCCTGCGGACCCGCACCTTCCCCCGCTGCCTCCCGTTAGGGTTCAGCAAGGACTGCGGCTCCGTAGTGCAGGGGAGAGGGGAGGAAAGACCGTCTTCAAACAGCACCCCCTCCCCACACACACACACTCACCCAAAGCACAAGCCCCCCCAGTCTTCGAGGGAAGGGGGCAGAGGGGTGGTGGTGAGGGCAGATGCCGCTACCCCAACTAGGGAAGAGACAAAAATTTCGCCGCCACTCTCTCTGCCCGGGGACTGGGTCGGAAAATTCCCTAATAGCTCCAAGCTGTTACGAATAACGTGTACAAAGAAAGAAACATCCTTAAAGCGCTACTAAACGAAAGTTCTGGCTGCTGCGTGGCACCGAAGAAAACCATCACGCACATGGTCCGCTTCCAAATCCCGCTCAACGATGCCGAAACGGGGAGCCGGTTCCAGTCCCACCGTCACCCCCAACCACCAGGCTCGGAAACGAGAGGAAAACCTGCTCCCCCAGCCAGGTCCCTTCGCTTGGAGAAGGTAGAACCCCTCCACGGCATCCGCGTCCCGAGCCAATGAACGCGACTCCTCTGACGGGCGCCTCTCATTTCACGGACCCTGGCGAACTGCGGGAGCTGTGGCGGCCGCGCCGCACAAACACGGTTCGGGAGGGATGGCCGCGGTTTCCCAGCCCGGTTCGCGCCTGGCCATTAGAGCGCAAGCACGGCGCGTACACCGGCGCCCAGCATCGAGAAAACCCCCGGCGCCCGGGGCCTGCCCGGGACCTGGGTCAGCATCCTCGCGCCACGCTTATCTAGGGGGTCAGGGCGAAGTAATAAAAGTCTCAGCCAGGATGGAGGGGAGACCCAGAGCGCGTCTCTGCGAGGCAGGGCGGGGTGCAGGTAGGGAGCGGCGCGCTGGGCTCTGCACGGGCTCCAACGCGCCCGCCAGCGGCAGGAAGGCTCAGCCTGGCCTTGCGGGGCGCGGGGCTGACTGCAGCACGAATGGAACTCCGAAGCCCGAGCGGCCAGGGCCCTCCGGGGTGCGGCACTCAGCCTCGGAGCGCCCGCAGGGACCCTGATGCCTGCGGGGACCCTGGCGCCCGCGCGGTCCCGCTCCGCGCTCTCTGTCCCCAGCGCCCCGCGCACTTTCCCCGGTAGAGTTTACGGGCCCCTTCAACCTGAAGCCCAGCGGGCGAGCCCCAGGACGGGGGTCGAAAGAAGGGGCACTCACCTCCTGCCGCCCTGATCGCCTCGGGATCCTGAAGTTCAAGTGTCTGTCCCAGCGGCGGGTCCGTCGGTCCGTATTTAGGTATTTATTGTCGTTCTTTCCAATGTCGAAGTTTCCCCTTCGCGCTGTGCCTCTGCTGAAAACAGGACATCCCCTTCGGTCACCCCCCTCCAACAAATAGCGTACACAAGTGGGGGAGAGACGGGGCGGGGGACCAGCCGGCTCTGAGGGGGAGGGGGGAAGGAGAGGAGCCAAAACTCTGGACTGACGACAAGGAGGGGAAAAAGTAGAAGAAAAGAAAGAGACCAGGCGCGCCCAGCCACCGCAGCCGTCGCTCCCCAGCGTTTCCCAAAGCTCTGTCCCCCTCTGAAAGGGGAGCGACGACTTCACGTGGACAGACTCGAAGTTTTGCGCGGAAGCCGAGCGCGGCGGAGCGTGCGCCGTGCCGCTGGCGGCCTCGCACTTGCGCGCGGGGTGGGGGGCGGGGGACTCCGCCGCCCGCGCCCGCGGCCACTGGAGGCTGCAGGAGGCCCGGAGGCAGGCTGCGCGGGCCAGCGGTGCGAGGAGAACTGCCTCTTTTTTATTCGATCTCGGGTGACGATTGCCTGTTGTCATCGTTTGCGGTCCTGCGTGGGAACCGCTCGGGACCCTGGGCGTCCCCGGTGGCGCCGCGGTAATCCCCACGCTCTCAGCGCCGTCCCTACCCCGCCCCCAACTGTCCAGGCACCGGCCTCTGCGACCTCCAGGTGGAGGGAAGGGACCCGCCACCGCACTCCCCTGCCCGGACCAGGGAACTGCTGTCTGTCCCCACCTGCTTCTGCGGGGCCGTCCCCGAATCGCCTCTAATTCTGCCAATGCCCTGTCCCTGGTGTAGGCCACTGCGGACGTCCTGATGGACTCCTTTCCACTTACCCAAGGGTGGAGACAGAGGGGCTTCGCCTACCTGCAACAACGTGAAATAAAAATGAACCCACGCCTGACTGGGGAGCTTTCACTGAAGGGGAGAAATACCCTTTTTCGTGAAGATGTGTGCTAGGAACCAGTGAGCAGTCTGGGGATAGGCTGTGCTGGGAAGGGCCTGGGCCCTTTCCAGCGCTGGGCGCAGGTATAGGCATCCCTCCCAGACGCCCAAAGGTCAGGCAGCGACGACTGACTTCCAAGGCAGCGTCAGAGCTGCCCCAGGCACATTGCTGAAGTGACATTTCATGCCTAAGCCTTCTCTGCGCATGTATTATGCACCCACATAGGATTGCACATGTGTTTATCGCAGCCAGGGCCTGCAGCAAAGTGGACAATAAACAATACATACCTTTTGCGTCCATGTAATCACCTCCTCCTAAAACCTATTGTCTATTTCTGGAGCATCTTCTTTGTCACATCAATTATGTGTTTTTGTGTATTGAGAACTTACTGAGTGGCCATCAGTCTTTATACTGGCCACTTGTACTGTGAGTTCATTTAATTTCACAACTCTACAATGATTATTTAAACCGGTGTAAGAGCTAAGTAAACTGAGGCCCAAAGAAACCTAAATAACTTTCCCAAGGACAAACCCAGTGGTCTCTAACCACACAGCCTATAATTCAACAAGCAGCCTCCCCCACCACACACACACACACACACACACACACACACACACACACACACACACACTGCCTTAGATGTGGCTTGAAAAATTACAAGTTAATTGGTATGCATTACTCCCATTCAAAAAATATTTAGTTGTAATACGTTGTCAACTAAGTTATATTCTGTAAAAAGTTCAGGAAAAGATTTCCCCTCCACTTCAGCTTGGTTTTATGCAACTAATACGGATACTGTCAAACTCAAAAGCAAAAACAATATTTGTACTTTGTAGTTACAATTTATTTTTTAATTAGTGGGGCGTTATCTAAAATTATTAACAGGCGATGCCAAAGGTAAGGTTGTAAATTTAAACTGATAAAGGTATTTATTGCTTATCTCACGACTTACTGGGGGTCCTTCCCTGCAGATTAATTGGGGAGCGAGGAGGTGGGGTTAGTCACTTGCCAAGTATAATGTTCCCTTTCCTGGTTCTCAAGGAAGAAAGGGTCTGATGGTAGATTTGGTGCAAAGAGGATTTGGAGCATGGTCTAGACTAGAGAACATTCTGGCCTAAACAAGATGCCAGTTAATATACACTTAACACAGCAATATCGATGGGCAGATTTAAATAACTTTGCAGATTATTCCCCCCCCCCATTTTACAGGAGAGAAAACTAAGGCCTCATAATGTTTTGCAACTTTCTAGTAAATGACAGACCTAAGATCCAGACCAATCTGTGTATAACCCCAAAGACCACCCTTAGCCACTGTGATGTAATAGTAGTCAGAAAATTGGTAATTATTTTCAGAACAGCATATATGCTACAGTCAAAATATTCCATTTAAATGTTTTGTGACTCATTCAGTGTCTAGAAATTCTCTGTAGCTATAGCAAATATCCTGTGAAAATTAAGTACAATGCTGAATTTAATATTCTCATAAGGCCACAAAATTTTGAATTTCATTTTGTTATAGAATGTTAAATGTTAATTTGGCCTCTAAATAAAGGTGCGGAGATGCATAATTTGGATAAAATAAAAATTCAAACTTTGGTACAGCATATTGTTCACATAAATACAGTTGTTTAGCATGTTTCTTTACTCCCTACTACAATCAAATTCTCAGCAATATTGACTTTATTTTCAAGTTACTTTGCTCCCACATAATTTTTGTCTATATCTACATAAGAATATGTTTACAGAAGTTATCCAAAAGAAACCACAGAATTATAGCACAATATTAGTCATTCAACTTCTTGTTACTACCTTTTAATCTATCTAGTCTTCATATATATATACATATATATATATATATATATATTAAATGGATACCACTAGAAGTGATATAAAATGTCACATTTTCAGTCCACATTGAAATAAGTTGAATGTAGTAAACAAAGAATTATAAGGTTATTGCTTATTTAAATAATGCATTATTTACAATATTTATATTGAATGCCAGTTTCATAATTATTGCCATATCACCTGTAATGTTATTGACTTGAAATAATATTTTTCTTTAAATAAGCTATTAAATATATTTGTCTGATAAAGGAAACTTTTTATCATCACCATACATGGAAAACCAATGTAACTAGCCATGAGTACATGATGACCTTGCAAATGAATCTGTATTATGGAAATAAATATCATTTATCCTGTGCCACTTAAAATGATCTTATACACCAGTTTGAGAAACACTAGTTTAAAGAATTACATCTCTTATGTCCCTTACACTCTCCAATCATATTTTTAAGCTTTCCCTTTCCATTACTGTAGGGAAATGTTGAATCTAAGATACTTTTAGGTACTACTTTTTAAGTTCTATTATTCAATTATTGATTTTCCTGCCTAAAATTTTCCTGCACGTGACATTGAAGTGTCCTTTTTAAATTAATTATATTTTATGGTTTTGCTTACTATCTTACCTGTAGCAAAATTCAAATAATTCATAAGCACATAATTAAAAACCAAATTACTCTCCTGAGAGACTCTATCAGCTACCCATCACCTTTCCTCTCCCTCTACTTTCCCCTCAACACACACTTTATCCTAGGCCTTAACCACTGAAAAAGAAACGATCCAACTGTTAACATCATGAAGTGGCAGCATCTATTGGCCCAGTCTGGTACTGCAACGAAGTTCTACAAGGCAATTAAGAGGAGAGGCAAAAAGAGATCAATGGGAGAAGACATGTAGGGAAATTCCAAAGTCTGAAATCTGCAAGTGATTTAGGAACATTAGCAGGTCCTACATGACATGAATCAGCCCATCGGAATATCTGTACATGTCCAACTTCATCTGAGAAAAGACATTTGTTCTGGGAAGAGAGAAAATATAATTTTATAGTGAAAATCAGTAGAAATATAAGATTCCATTATTAGCAATTCCCTTAACCAACCTCTCGAGGGCAGATGCTCCTGCAGTTATCATCTACTTTTTTTTTTTTTCCAAGTGTGCATGGCACCGTTTGGCATTGAGCTTTATATAAGTCAAATTAAACAAAGCCCTCTAAGGAGCTCATAAGCCAAAACGTAATTTTTATATTAATTTCATTTTAAAGTAACCTTAATGGAAAACGATTCCATCACTTTAATAAGAAAAAAACTTTAGGCTTAAGAAAAGGGAATAAGACACTACATTCACCAAAAAAAAGAAAATAGAGGACTGAATGCTTGTAGAAATTATCCAAAAATAGATCTCTTGAGTTGCTCCCAGTTGCTGTACCTTTGACCTCCAGCTGAAAGTATACACAATTCTTAAAAAATAAAATCAATCAATCGTTTCTTAGTAAATTCTAAGCCAAACCCTTGGGCTTCGGGATAATGGACGTTTAGAGGTCAGCATTAACATGAACTAGATTTAAGACTGTTTTACTGGCCTATTCTGCCAATGACAGAACAATGAGGGTATGTGATTGCCCAGGAATCTAAAATGCTGTGCTTCTGGCTTTCTAAAACCTATAGACACACTTTCTGAGTAATTTTGTGCAAACAGATCAAGCTTAAAAATGTTTCTACTGAAAGTGAAGGAATCAGACCACCTGCAGGAGACCTGCTGGGTCATTCTCATCTGCTGGGCTCTCTGCTCCACTTCCTCATTCTTGGCAGAGTCTCTAAAGAAAAGGAAATGCACACTCTCTGGGAGATAACTTCATTGTATTTACTTTCAAATTCTCTCTCTTCAATTCCGCCCCCGCCCCCCCAAGTTAAATCCTTTTCCTACCATATTATGCAATTCTACTCTAGCTTTCATGTTTACACCCAACATTCAGATGTTTATAAACAGATATCATGCCCACTTTTAGTCATCTGTTAGCCACGTTAAACAAATGTAAGGCCTTTTAATCTTGTTTCAGATCAGTCTCTCCAAGCCCTTAATCATTCTTATTGCTTGTCTCGGAACTATTTCCAGTTTCCTAGATGTTCATTTTTGTTTAGAGGTATCCCACATTGAATGCATTGTTCCAGGTGTGGTCTCATTAGCATGCTAGAATGAGTCCCTTTTTTCCTTCTGTGGCATTAGGTTTTGGCTTCACTGCAAATTCCCACTAGCTCACATTACTTTCATATTTTAACAAACGCACATGTAATTTTTTTCTCTATTTTCAGTTCATGTAGTGTTTCTTCTGGCATACTACAACAATCCTGATTTCTCAAGTACTTCAAATGCACAGTTTCAAATGATAATTGTAGTCAAAATATGCACAATGTCACTTTGTTGTTCTTTTGATTTCTTTAGCCTACCAAAGAAATCATTTCAACATAGGAAATATCCAATTAATCTCTTTTTTATACAA